AAGAGTAGCAGACAATGATGAACAAGTTTTAGGATTTCTAAAAAGCCATTTGACAGGTGATTTTTATACTTGGATGAAAATTGCTAATCCAAGAGGCATTAATGCATTTTTCACCGAACTAAAAAATATGTGGTTAGAGTGTACACCAAATTTAAGTGGAAGAATTGCAGAAGAATTAAGTCAAATTACTTTAAATCCAGTATCCTATTCTTTATCACAAGTTATTCTAGTTTCTCAACAACAAACTGAATATCAGTCTTTATTAGAAAAACAGAAAAACGAATTTTAATCTATATTAGAAAAATATAATGCTGAACATAAAGCTGAAATAGAATCTATATTACAACAAAAATCGAAAAAAATACCACTACCTATATCACCAAAAAATATAGATGAAATTGATAGAACTACTGTATATTATTAAAAGAATTATATGGTATGGGATATAGAGATGGCCCATTAGTAGATTTTATGGAAACATATAAAAAGCATAGTAATGATATAAAAAGAACACATAATGATAGAATAGGAAGAGTGGAAAAAGGACTAAATGAAACTCGTGGATCTGTGAACCAATTAATTGAAGAATTTCAGAAAATAAATATAAATAAAGATAATACTACGAAATCTAATTTTACTCGATCTTATTTCACACCTCTTAAATCTTTATATCATTAATATGAAGATGATGATAATAGTGGGTATGAAGAAGAAAACGGCATATGGCTTGATAATGATTCTGAAAAAAAAAATGGGTAAATGAACCATATGATCAGCAATTGCCAAAGCTTTCACTAGAAATACGTAAAATGTGTCTGTCTCAAAAGATTCAAGAAAAAAAATCAGATGAGTGGTTTTCATCTTTACAGTACTTACATTGTAATATAAATAATTTATCAATTTCTGAATCTTTCTTAGATCCTGGATCTGAATTCGGTGCGATAAATGATCCTGCAATTAAGGCGCTTAAATGGGGGGCTGATAAACCATCTGACTTTACTATAAAGGGCAATTCCAAACATATTACCAATTCATTGGGATGGTATACGGATGTGCCAGTTATCTTGAAGGATAAAGAAAATAAGATTGTTACAGTTATTGGAAATTTTGTTCATATTGATAATGAAGAATCTAAACCAATGCTATTTTTAGGCATGTCAAATATTCGAAAAGTTTAAGGTATTCTTGATCCAAATAATAACCAATTTCGTATAAATATTTATGGTAAGTCTTATATAATTCCAACATTTAGCAAGGCCCAGTAGCAAAGGATCCACCAAAAGAGACAAAGATCACAGAAATATTGAATTCCGATGAATTGAAAACTCGAGACTCTAACTCTTTATTTAGTGAAGAATTAAAAAAAAAATTATGTAAATCATGAAAGTATGAAAAATCGAATAAAAGAGCTTGAAAAGGCATTATTATCTAGCATTCAATTGAATTTAGAAATGATAGGATACTATAATAGTTTACTTGAATGATATGAAGCTAAGACCTAAGAGCACGACCAGATTCTCTAATTTTTTCTATATCACTATTAGTTCTCTTAAACAAATCCAAGACGTCTTCAGAGGATGATTCTTCAGTTGGTAAAATAGCTACTTTGTGACAGTCTTCAATAATTTTATTTTTTATCGGATCTTTGGATGTATCACCCTTATTAATAATATCAGGTGAGTCAGAAATTTGAACCAATTTAGGTCTTGATTTTTTTTTCTTAATCTGCTTATTTGAAGTGTCGATAGGGGTTTCTAGAGTGTGCCTATAATTTCCTCCTTGTTGAAGACACTCACAATTATTCCATATATCAAGAACGCACTCTTTACATATATGATAATCACCAATCACTTTATATATAGGAACTTTGTTCTTGAGCCTCCTAATTTCTTCAA